ATTTCAAATACATTTATTTCATACTAAGTATAGTTCAAATCTATTAACATATTTACGGACATATCGTTTGAGACTTACAGATATAAAAATTATAATTAAACTTTATTTGGAGTACTACTTGTGCACAATGCACATTTCTTAATATTAAGTCTAAAATGTGTTTTAATGTCACTGTTGATGAGGATTGTATGATCTTTGAATAATATCGGTATTTAAATGCAAGAGATTTAAAGTGTACTGAAGTATACTTGCAATAGTTCCACTTTAGCACAATCAAATGTACTTAAGTATACCTTTAGTTGGACTTCAGCACTACTTCCGCATAATTAAAGTGCATTAAGTACAAAATTAGTTGCAGACATTAAGTATACCAGTTCAGTATACTAAAAATACAATTGCAGGGTATTTTTATTAAGCACATACATTTTTAAATGTATTTGTCATATACTTAGCATGAAATAAATGTATTTCAAATACATTTTAGTAGCCTATATTTATTTTTCACTAAGCTCAGTTTAGCCTTAGCTACTTGTTGACCTAAAAATGACCTCATGACTGACCAGCTCTATTATTTAAATAACTAAAATCCATTGCAGAATCATTCCGTGCTCAAAAAAGTTCTGCGTGTTACTCAACAATTTGAGGAAGATCTGCGTTGAAGGCCCAGTGTCTAATCTAGTTTCCTCTGTATATCAAACCGTCCCTCCATCCTAGTATTACTGCTGTAAGAGGAATGAGTCAGAAGGGGAGGCGGGCTCGGTCGGAGATTCTCAGCCACAGTTCGCCTGCAACGCATGCAGCGCTCCGGGAGTGGACGGGGCGGCCGTCACACCTCTCTCGCTGCCCTATGACCCCGCTCCGCCTCACAGCTACTGCCCGACTTGCTCACCCTACTACCTCCGTGGCACGGATGAGATGCGGAACGGCGGCGAACGCCTGTCCTACATGCCCACTCACTACGAGAACCATGGTGCCACTGCCCTTGGTCTGGCCGCCATGTACGGCCCCGTGCTGAGCCATCGCAGTACGCTGGACTTTTACACCAATACACGAGCCATCAGCACTGACGTCTGACCCTCACAGACCCGGAGATGGACCCAGGGACAGAGCCGCTCTGTGGACCAGAGCAACTGGGGCAGTTACATCTCCCCGCTCCAAGAGTTAAAAAGACCTACGGGATACCATGTTATTCTTCCACACGGGTCTAAGGCCATCTTTAGTCTTCCATTGTCTTTTGTTTTACCTGCTGTTTACCTCTTCTTATTGCACATCCCTTCCTTTTGTGATTTGAGGGCCGTGTGTTATGACATGAAGTGTTTTTGGCCTTTTTAATGTAAGTTTTAAAGGTTAAATGCAAATAGGGTGTTTTATTTATCTGGAAAAGTCAGATAAAGCATATATTATAGTCAGAAAATCAAGTATTTTGTTGTTTATCGTGACATAAAAGGCAAACATTCCACACAAATTTTTAATAGCTTTAAAAAAAAGTATATTTGTTGAAAAGAGCATGACATTCAGCTTTATCTTAATATCCCCGATATACTGAATCTTTGTCTTTGAAAAACGTATTTTAGGATGAGGAATTAACCAAAATGTGATTGTCTTCATGTGTGTTGAACTGTTGGGAAAATGTTAAATGAATAACTGATGATGATTATATTGGTCAGTTTATATTTGAATATGTGTCACAATAACTAAAATTCACAATGGCACAGAGTGTTGACAGTTGTTGAGTTATCATAATACTGAGGTTGAATTTGAATTGTTAATTCTCACTTTTTTTTGTCCATATCCACTACAATACTACAGTTAAGAGCTTTTTAAAGTAGCATTGCAGAAATCTCCGATGGCATATAATTTTCAAATTTATATGCAGCATTTTCAAAAAATCTTCTGAGGCACTGAGAGGAAATGACTGGAAAATATTGAAAACATTTCATTATCTTGTCCCTGTTTGTATGATATTATGGCAGTGGAAATGATACTTATATGAACGATAGTTTCCTTGTCTTTGCAAATGTGTTTATGTAAATTATTATATTTTCTCACATACTTGTTTCAGTAGCCATTGGTTTATGAATTGTGCATTCCGATGTCTGTGTTCACTCTCTCTGAAGCACTCTTTGTTTGTAACTGGATCACATTACAAATCACAGGATGGCACAGGATATTTTACATGTGAATACTTTTTGGCAAAAATAGGGAAAAAAATGTAAGTATATCAGTCTATGGTTTAAAATGCTGAGGGGAAAAAAAGAGTAGCCTATTGTCCACATGTTTCACAGAATGCTTTTGAATATAAATGAAGCATTTATAAATGCCTGTAGACTTTTATAAAATTGGTCAATTGTGATCCGAGTAATAAAAGCCATTTCACATCTATACAAATACATGTACATAAAGATCAAATTATTTCAATTATTGAAATGTTTCCTGTCAAGTCTATATCTATCTGTATCTAAAAGCTGACTGGCAATGCTATATTCTTCGATATTCCTATTCATGGAGCTGCTTTGGCACTTAGTGGATTAAGTAAAACCATAAAAAACTGGTTGTCAAACATTTTTAAAAACGACTGAACATTTTCACTTTTGCTCCCCAGTTCACTGAACACATGTTGACATTTTGTGACAACGTGCCCCAATAGCACATCATATATAGGGTAAGTTTAAGTAAGCAAAAGTTAAATAAGTACATAGTTGACTGAATGCCAGTGTGCCTTTTTGTGTTCACTTATTTACTCAACAGCTAGCAAAATATGATGATAGTGTTATTCTAGCTTAGACAGAATCAACAGCAAAAACATTTAAAGGGGTTTTGAAGCAAGTATCTGAAATCAACATTTATTAACACTAAAAATTTGGGGTCAGTAAGTTTATTTATTTTTTGTTATTATAATTTTTTTTATTATTATTAATTTATGCTTATGAAGTCTTTTTCACCAAGGCTGCAATTATTTGAAAAAAAAAAAGTAATTTTGTAAAATATTATTACTATTTTTTATTTAATTTTTTTTTATTTAAAATAATTTATACTTGTGATGGCAAAGCTGGATTTTCAACAGCCATAACCGTGATAGTTTTTTTTTTCTGGATGTTTTTGATCAATAGAAACTTCAAAAGAACAGCACTTATTTGAAATAGATTTTTCCAAACAATGTAAATGTTTACTCTCTGTTTTGATCAATTTGATGTATGCTTGCTTAATAAAACTATTAATTTCTTCAAAAGAATCTTACTGACCCCAAACTTCTGAATGGTATAGTGTACAGAACCACTGCTTGAGAAAACACATTTTATGTAATTTTGACAAAATCTTTTTTCTATTTGTAGCCTGTTCTTTCACTTTTGCATCTTAAAGCGCTGAAGACATTTAGCATTTGGGAGTGCCAAGCAGGGCTGGGACTGCATTCTCTCTGTGTATTGTGTTAAACTACTTGAAGGACCAGTTTAAGATCTTGTTAAACAAATAGCTGTTTCATGCATCTCATTTGCATTGCAGTTCAGCAAATGTAAAGAATTTCACTCTCAGCATGATGAAGCTTTCCACTGAGTTTTCAGCCATAATAAGCAGCACACTTAACAAACGAATGAGAGAGTCACCCCCCACCTGGAGAGAGTTGTGCGCTTGTTTGCTTCACAGGATCATGATGAAACCTGAAGACTGAGAGGTGGCACCTCCTCCAATACAAGAACCTTTGAACACCGTTACACTTTGCTGTTTGTCTTTATTGCTCTCTTCTCCTCCCTTCTTTCAATTACTAATAACATCCTCCCCCACTTTTGTTCCCTTCTCTTTTTCCTTTATTAGCTTGGCATTGTTCAGGCTGATGACCACAACAGATTATCTCTGTATAACAGACAAAGAAACACATAGTTTTACAAGAAAATCTAGTGCTTTTTAACCAGTTTTGATGAATAATATCTGCATTATGCCTCCCTGAAGCTGCAGTGAGATGATAAAAACAGTCCACAGCCTCCATCAATCCTGCTGAACATACAGCGGCCAGATATAAGCAGCTTAAGGAATGGAGGAATGTACTGGCACCTGCTTGTCCCAGGAAAACCACTGTGTTTTTGTGTAAGAGGCGACCTACAGGATTACAGCAAGAATTTAAATTTCACAGTCTTTAGCCCTGAGCTTGAACACGCAGGCAGGCTAGCAAAGTCTAAACAGTGACGCTAAAAGTTCTTCTGAAAAATATATCTGTTCCAGGTCCTACTTGTGTTGGATTAATCGTTTTAATAATATTGAACTGAGTTCTGCTTCAGCAATGAGGAAATTGTGTGTGGAAATAATTAGTATTGGCTGCTGGATTGTGGAATAATATTGTAAGGAAGTTAAATAGGAGCAGTTGGAAGAGTTTTGGTACCTGCTTGTTAGGTAAGTGAAGATCCAGAGGATAGAGGTGGACTGAAATGAATCCCCTCCCATAGTTTTACGTTGGGGTAGGGCTTGCGCTGGGACAGACAGATATAGACTGCTGCCTGTCAAACCTGTTGTCATTTCTCCAGACAAGTTTAGCTGCCTACTTTGTACTTTGTAGAGATCGCTTGCGTTCTACTCACCTGCCAAAATGATGGAAGAAGTGTCTATTGCTGTGGCCTATGATGCCCATATGATTGACCAGATGTCAGAGGAGGAGATCCTGGCTAGTCTAGTAGCGGAGACTCTACCAAATCAAGTGGTAAGTTCAGCAGCCTTTGACCTCATGTTTGTCACGTTGATTCAAACCTGGCATGCTGGAATTTTTAAGGCGTAGCACGATAGCATGTTTTGATTCAAATCTCTTTACAGCAATGTTGAAATACGGTATTAATGCATTTGCAATCATTTACTTTTTGCGATCGTATACTCCTTGGTGCTTATAAGAACGTATATATTATATATAATATTATAATAAATACATGATGTACAAAAGAAATTATTTTTAGAATGTTTTAGCATTTTATCATGAATTTATTAATTTACATAATTTACATATATAATTGTATTAATATATATATATATATATACAGTGGGTACGGAAAGTATTCAGACCCCC